AGATATTTTGGTGCAGAACCTACATGAGAACTGAAGTGAGAGGAGAGAAATTGAGGTGGAAAGCCTCTGTAAGAGTGGGAGAGGATAAGTTTTATTATATGAGAGAGAATCTGAATTTCAGTAAATGAAAAGAAAGAGATTTGAAATTGTTCAAAACATTTTTTGGACAGCTGAATATAATGTAATAGAAAGCTATATGTGAAGTTTGTTTACCATTCGAAAGTTTTGGGTCAGTAAGATTTTTAATGTTTTATTGATTTGTGCTCACCAAACATACAGTAAAACCAAAAAATATTGTGAAATATTATTACAATTTAAATCAATTTCTATTTGAATATATATTAAACTGTAATTTATTTTTGGGACGCAAAGCTGAATTTTCAGCATCATTACTCCAGTCTTCAGTGTCACATGATCCTTCAGAAGTCATTTGAATATGCTGATTTGCTAAACATGAAACATTTTTTATTATTAATGTTGAAAACAGTAGTGCTGTTTCATATTTTTTGGAAATCGGGAAATTTTTTTTTTGATGAATAGTGAAAGGTAGATGAAAAGTTCACTAGAATTGATTAGAAATATAAATCTTTTGGAAGATTTTTAAATGTCTTTACTGTCACTTTTGACCAATTTTAATGCATCCTTATTAATCTCTTTAAAAAAATCTTACTAGATCAGACAGACAGAAACCCGAGTAGAAGGGAAACCACATTTATGATTTTTTCAATATTGTTACAACAAAAGGGGAGACTGTTTAATTCTGATAATCTCATAATCAAGCATTATGTTATGACTGGGATATATTTACACTTTGAAATGTCTCTATTATATAATAACATTAGTTGATCATCTCATGCTCTCGTAAATCACTGATTGTTTTGGTGGATTTTGTACTACTTTGCAAGTGCAAGAAACAAACTGCCTCTAAACCAGGCGTGACCTCGAGCAATGTCGCAATATTGTGTAGAAACAGCACAGTCTGAAAAATTGAAGTTGCCTTGTGAATTACCCATAAACATCCTTGGAAATCTTGAGTAACTTTAGCACACATTGTTTGAATTGTTCACTCATAGTCTAATCTAGTTAGAAGAGCTGTCAGCCCATTATTAACCTGTACTGACCTCGAGGATATCTGTGTGTTATTGAGCGCATTTGTGCCTGTCAACCATCTTTGACCTTATTTATTCATCCCGTTCTTTCATATCTCCTCTATTAACCCAAAAGGAATCGTCCCAGACAGGCCGTCAGTGGCCCACCTAGTCTGCTCATTGGCTGACCCTGGCCTCCCCTCCGGTGCATTTGTCACTGCCATCATTGGCTTTCATGGTTCTCCATCTCTCTCTTCGTCATCCCTCCATCTCTATGGCCTCTGATGAATCTGAGAAGGTGGGCATGAATAAACTGAATGTGGGAGTGCTGAGGGTATTAATGGGGGATTTGGGGGATTGAGGGTCTTTTGCTATTGAGGTGCATTAGACATGGTCGGCGATGAAGTGTCTGCCGCACAGCGTCACGCTCCCGGAGCCAAGAAGAAGAGCAACAGTACGCATGCGGCGCCCGCTGCCAGAGAATTCCACTGAAAACTCGATGCATTTCCAAAGAATTCAAATACACACCATTCATACAATTCTACACATCCCCCTCCCCTTGCTGTGACTGTTTTTCCTTATTAACTGGATTTTGAGAGTATTGTATAATGAACGAGGTATGACCGATAGTAGTGTCATTAAGTGGAACCGTAAAAATAAGTACAGTTTTCAAAAGGGTTTTGTAAACACTCCCCCTGTCTGCTATTGGTGAGACACACAGATAGCCCCACCCACAATGAGCCAGTGTTGCCATTTAGGATGGGAAGTTTATATTGTTTATATTGTTTTGGGGTTAAATCAACTTATAGTTATAGTTGTTTTCTGCATATTCAACTGGTATATGAAAAAGTGTTTTAACCCTGAAAAAGTCAGCTCACACATCAGTTTATTAAATGCCATGTAAAATCAAATGTAAAAATGTTTGTTTCTGCTAAAATGAAACTTTCAGCTGAAACTGTTCCCAAAATTTTTTATTTTGAATATTTAGGTACTAATATGTTGTTTGGACAGGGTATCATTTGTTTTGTTTTTTCTTTTTAATAAAATAATAATTTTGAATAAAAGCTGTTTGAATTTTTAAATAAAAAAAATTAAATGAAGCTTTCAGCTCAGTGTTATTTTAATATCATTTATTTGCTATGATCATTTTTAATAATATTTTGAATAAGCTTTTATTTTTACATGTTCAGTTTTCATTTTAATTTTAGTTTGGGGTTTGGTGATTTTTTTTTATATGCTTTTATAATTTTTATACTTTTCTTTTTATTTCAGTTTTAGTAGTACTTAAACTTATTTCAGGTAGTTTCCAAGGCAACTTCATTTAAAATTTATTTTAAATTTAACTGAATTTCAATTCCTGAAAATTATTTGCACATACACAAGGATCACTTGTTGAAAAATGAATGTGAAAAATTGTAACATTCAATATGGCGACAATATGGAGAAATGCCAAAAGGCCAATAGTTATTTTGATAGGGGCATCAGCTGTTATTTATAATCTTGACATTGTTTTGGAGTTGTTAGGCTTTCCTTTTTAAAATTTTAAAATGTTTTTCTAAATGAAAAATAGCTGTTTTGGGGTGTTTCTAAGTTGACCCGAGTGGACTGACTTGACTTATTGAAGTATATGAGTATTTCCATTTGAATCAGTACAAAAATGTGAAAAAGGTGTGCCTAGTTAAAGGGATGCACCGAAATGCACCGAAATACAACAAAATGAAACACTGGGGCGAAGACCGAATACCGAACACGGTTTTTCGCATTTTTCCCCCCATGTAGGCCTATTTTGCCATTTTTTTCGCCATTGCATATATTAAATAGCCAAAATGTGCCTTTTACTGTTTTGTCCTACTTTTCAAATAAAACATCAATTACAAAACAACAATTTAAAAATATTTACTTAACACTGAACATTTTTTTAACATTCTAGCAGACATTATACCATCAGCACAGATTTTCCTCGCGCTTTGGACTTTGAACCCTGGCGCCGCGAGCTCGTGCAGCGCTGTCAGAATACATGCCATTCGTGCGTGCATTAGAAAATATAACATTCTGCAGTTTATTTACTAATCTTTTGAGGCCATTTCGCGATTTCAATCATCACACAATAGCCTAACCACCAGCATCAGCCACCTCTTCTTCTCATCGGAGACATGTGATGCAGCACTAAACAGTCTCTCGCTGTCGGTGCTTCGTGCTTGTAATGATTTCTGCGTCTTTCTCTGATAGTTTTAAATACTTTCACACTGCTGACATGTTTACTGCATTAGTGCGTGCTCTATTTGATCACGTTAGTCATTGTTTGGTACATATTATTCGGCCTTTTCGCTTATTCGGCCGAACACCGAAAGAGATTTTTTTGCTATTTCGGCCTAATAATTTCGGTTGCCGAACATTCGGTGCATCCCTACCTAGTTACAGATACAGGACATCAGACCACCTCTCTACAGAGTGGCCAGTGTTTGGCGTGTTTGTGTTTGCATAAAACCAAGACAGATGCTGCAGTGGTTTCTCTATGACGTGTCAGGAAGTATGTTTAAGTGTGATTGAGCATGTGTTTGTGCATGTGTGTTTGTGTTTACTCGAGGACTAACAGGGAGGTTTGTATTGAAGTGAAGCTGTGTATATATACAGTATATATTCTGAGCTTATGTAAGATCTCAGATGTGTGTTTACACGTTGGGTTTCCCTGAGCTTCAAGCGCTGTCAAACACCTAATGGAAAATGAACTGGGTGAAGCGTTTTAAGCTTTAGGGAGGTCATTACAGAGACCCATTGATTCCCATGACAGGCTGAAAATATATCAAAATCCCTTCTTCAACTTGTAATTAAACTTTTAATGATCTGCTGGCTCATCGTCCACAGGCTGACAATTACAGCAAAATCAATGTTATGTTTTAGAATAACATTATGTTGAACTGCTGCGGGTCTTGGAAGAGGTCCAGTCGTTTACTCTGATGAGAGATGGAGGTTAATTAGATTAGAAAGAGCAAGACTTACACCATCTTAACCCTTCAGGAGAAGATGAAGCCGTCTCTCTGTGTTCTGTCTGTTTATCTGTCCGTCTAACTCACTTGCTGTCTGGTTGTCCATCTGTTTTCTTTGTGTTCTTCCAGTTTTTGGTTTATTTTGTTGATTTGTATACTTTCATCATTTACAATTCAAAACCCGTTTTACTAGAAATTTTGAAGATTTATATTGGTTTTCCATGGATTTACAATAACAGACTGAAGCTTTCAGAAAGTCCATATTGCAAGTCTTTATTTATTAAATAACATGGTATATTTAAGCTTGCATTAAAAAGAGTGCATTAATGGCCACTCACTTTTTCAGTGATCCGGAAGTTTTTTTTCATTAATTTTTCCCATAGGGATTTTTAAAAAGTCTTTTTTAAACCGTTAAAAGCCATGAATTAAGCCAACCATCTATGAGGTGAAACACAACATTACAAACTTTTATTTGAAGCAAAAAAACAAAAAGACAAGACTTGATGGCTTTAATGGAAAGAACTACAATCCCATGGAGCATTTTGAATGACATAATCAAATTAAAATTGAAGTATTTTGAGAGTGTAGGGAGAACGACTCGATTATGTCATTTGTGGCGTTCCCTGCAAGATCTTTTGTCGCGATTTAGTCTCTGCAACTCTCTGATTGGTGAATTTTTCTGTACAGCAGAATCATGGGTAATGTAGTTTTCACAACAACTTCAGCTGTCAAACTTGATTACTTAAAAAATAAGTTGAAATAATGTGGACTGATGGCTTCAGCAAAAGTATAAACCATCTGTTAACAACCTCGTAGGTCACAACAGGTCTGTCTTTAAAGGTTTAAAAGTTAGCATTAAAATCAATTTCCCTAAAACAAATGAAGCTTTCACTTCCCAAACCCAAATGTTGCTCTTTCTTCTCAGGACTCTGTCATCGTTCCTGAGAACAGGAGTGGTTGTTGCAGTAATCATGACAGCATTGCCGTTCCGGGTCGGACCGCTGTCCTTCGCTGGACTTGTCATCTTCCTCCTCCTCTCTCTGCCTCTCGTCACGTCACAGACGCCATCACTCCCAGCGACCTCTGACCCTGAGTCTGTGCCCTCTCTGCCTGAAGAGTGCCGGAGGAAAATGCGCCCCGTTACCTCCTACACAGGTGGGTGTAAAATACTGCGCTCTCTCCTGCCCTTTCCATCATCGCATTTGAAGCCAAAGGTTAAAACGTTAAGCCTTTGAATAATTTTTTTCCCTGAACATCTCAGTAATATTGGTCGAGCTGGTAGAAATTGCTTGTGAGTCTCGCATAGCCAAACGTCCACATTCCAGCTAGATCAGAAGAGACCATCTAACTGAAACTGAGACGGGATAATAACAGTAAAATGAATGGGAGAAATCACATTGCTCATTATGAACTTTCAGTAACAAGAGCCTTTTTGAAAAAGACATCACTTGCGTTTTATTATTAAATGTGCATTAGCTAGACCATACTTATTGAGCAGGGATGCATTAAATGAATCAAAAGTGGCAGTACAGATATTTATAATGTTGCAAAAGATTTCCATTTTAAATAAATGCTGTATTGTTGAACTTTCTGTTCATCAGGAAATCATGAAAAAAACGTATTAGCGTTTTCACAAAAATGTGAAGCAGCACAACTGTTTTCAACATTGATAATAAATAGAAATATTTCTAGAGCAGTAAATAAAAAAAAAAAATGATGCTGAAAATTCAGCTTTACCTCACAGGAATAAATTACACATTATAATATATTAAAATGGAAAGCAGCTATTTAGAATTGTAATAATATTTCACAACATTACTGTTTTTTTATTATATTTTTAATCAAATAAATGCAGCCTTGACACTTCTTTCAAAAATATTTAAAAAAATCTTACAGACTTTTAAACAGTAGTGAAGTTTGATTTGGGCCAAAGAAGTTAATTGCACTATTTTTGTCAGATTTTATTGTTTCTTTGACACATTATTGAAACATAACCTTGACAAACCATGGAAAGATGGCCACCAAGTGAACCAAATTGCTTTACTGGGACTTTGCTGACATGTAAAACAACAAACCAACTCCATTTGTTCCACTTTAACACCTGAAATTGCCTAAAGCCAATCATTCAGATTAGAGCTGTCTGTTTTGAGGAAACTTTTGCCACTTTTATGTGCAGTATGCATCAGGCCGTCCATTAATGGCCTGTTGCCGGTCCAGGGTATGTTTCATCTGAGGGGCCGTTTACACGACAGCGTTTTCAGCCAAAAACGGGAAACTTTTTATGCGTTTTGCCTGTTCGTTTACACGACAACGGCAGTACGTGTCGATTTTAAAGGCAAGCGCGAACAAACATACACAACAATGGTACTGTTGTTGCTGCTCAAGAGTTTGCTAACGCTTCTTCAGCAAAGTGTGGATTTACTTTACCAATATTACAACCAACAGCGGAGATGCATCATATACATCATATAATCGTCACTTCCCTACAGGTACTGTTTACTAACAAGGTGACAGCGCCAACTACTGGCCTGGCATACGTAATACAGCGTTTTTGGCCATTTTCGCGGATATGTGTAAACGGGAATCGTTTTGAAAACGTTGTCCTGCATTCGTGAAACTTTTTAAAAATGCAAGGGAATAACTTTTCCGTTTTTGACTACATCGTTGTCGTGTAAACGTAGCCTAAGACTAGTTAATTGCCAGCGGCCTTTCATTGGTACCTGTCTGTGTTTAACAGTTTTAATCATATGCTGGCCAGATGTTAAAGGTTAACACAGCTGTGTGTACGATCAGGAGTATGTGCTCACGCCCTGATGTTTCTAATATCGCACACTAATCGACACAGTCTGCTCTGTTAGTATATGCGAGGCTACACTGTAAGTGTTATATTGTCCTCTATTATAGAAGTGTTAGTGAATTGCAGTAGTAGCAGAAGCTGACATTCCAGACTAACCCATAGTTTTCTGTTGGCCGGTGAAGATCCTCCTTTATGTTCTTTGTGCCAGAATCCATTATCTTTGAAGCATATTTTGATGGATTGTAATAGTTTAAAGTCTGTCAGAACTCTTTATTTTGCTGTAGACTTTTATGGACAGATTTTTAATGAAGTAAGGCCAGATGTAGTTTTAGAATTTTTATCTAAGATCAAATTAAAAAACTTAATTTAACTTAACTAACCTCGTTCTCGCCATGAATATAGCCGAGGTAGCTCGCATGGCATTAAATCATAAACAAACAAAAGTAGCAGAAGCTGCTGTACACTAAAGACATTGAGAGAGTGATTTTGCCCATCGAGAGAGATTCAGGAGCATTTATTGAGGGTGTAGTCATCTGTTTTAGGGTGATAACGACCCTGATTTACAGCAGCACTTGCTTCAGCACTGTTTGGAGAACTAAATGGGGTGTTTCTTCTCTTCAGCCGAACTGCTCCTGAAATGTCTGATCATTTCATCATTAGTCACTGTTTTCTTTTTGCCACTAAAACATTTTCAGACATTTAAATCACACATTTTAAAGGGGCTATAAGCTATTTCATTTGTTCTGCTTTCTTCCGCTAAACTTAATCCTGGTTCACACAGTATGATTTTCTCCACGATTTTGCCATCTTAGACAATTTTTTGGAAATCATAAAAGATTACGATTGAACAACTGACACAAACACTGACTGAAGGTATAAGTCACCAAAAAATAAAAATATGTCATCATTTACTCACCTTCATGTTCCAGTGTTGGTAACCAATTTTGAATCCTATTTACTTCTATTGTATAGCCAAACAATACAATGGAAGCCAATAGGAACGGAAACGGTTTGGTTTACCAATATAATAGAAGATATTTTGAAGAATGTTAGTAATTGGTTCCCATTGACTTTCATTGTACGGAATTACCTGTTGTATTCCTCATTTCTGTGAAATGTAATGTGGACACAAAATACAATGGAAGTCAAAATGAGAACTGAAACAGAAACTGCTATTATGTTCCAAAGAAGAAAAAAGTCTTCTAGTTTAGACTGACATGAGGGATATTCTGATATGAAAGACAGTCAATGTTGCACAGTCTGTCTTGGCTTTTACGCAAGATTTCACTAGGCCCATATCGTGAAATTTGACAATCAGAAAGAGTCAGAAAGTGCAGACCTCACCAAAATGCTCTCCTTCAAAATTGCTTTTGGCCAAACAGAGTGTTTCTAATTGACTACATGTTCTGATTGGCAAATCAGCACAGTCTGCTTCAGATGGACAGATATTTATTTAGCTGTTTATGTAGTCTTGGACATTTTTGCGTGTGTTTTTCTAAAATAACTTCTAAGCACCTTTAAGTGACGAAATACCTTTTAGGTCCACTGCTTCTTCTCCTTCTTCTCCAACAAGCAGCAGCCAATGATGTTGTCTTCACTGATGTTTAGCAGTACACATACACATCACTAAATGATTTTATGCAGTTCATTATTTTGAAAAGAAATAGTTTGTTGTAGTGCGTTACTGGCAGCACACCCCAAAAACTAGTTTTGCAAAGGTTGCATTTAAAGTTTCACAAGAATTTGCAGTCTATTCCTTCACCTCCTCTCTGTCTTTCTGTATGAGAGTTGTGTTGTGGCTGATGTTGTGATTGGGCGTCTGGTTTCGTGAGTATCCCACCTCATTAATGAAACTTGCCATTGTTTTAAAAAATCTAATCATACACTACTGTGCAAAAGTTTGGGGTCAGCAAGATTTGCCTGAATGCATTAAATAGATCAAACGTGACCGTAAAAGCATTCACAGTGTTGAAAAAGGTTTATGTTTCATTAAAATGCAATTTTATAACTTTCTGTTCATCAAAAAAATCCTGAAAAAATGTATCGTGTGTCAAAATATTAAGCAGCAAATCAGCATATTAGAACGATTTCTGAAGGATCATGTGACACTGAAGACTGGAGTAATGATGCTGAAAATTCAGCTTTGATCACAGAAATAAATTACATTTTACAATATATTCAAATAGAAAACAAATAAAACATATTTCACAATTATGCTGTTTTTACTGTATTTTTGGTCAAATCAGTGCAGCCTTGGTGAGCAGAAGAGACTTTTTTAAAATATATAAAAAATTTCCTGTTTGTGTGTAAATTGCATCAGTGCATAATGCGTCTTATCATGAACAAGATAATTAATGCATGAATCAAACTCTCTTAGACAGTTGTAAATGTTTCGTGAACCTGACACGGTTCACGAAACATTTACGCTGTATGTGTGCAGAGACAAATCATACAGAACAGTGAAGTCGCTCAGCAACATGAAGAGTATCGCACAAGGATTTTGAACTTTTGAACTTGATTTTTCTCAGTTTGTGGTATTGCAAACAGTGAAACCAGCAGCTAAACAGCAGATTAAACGTATTGGCTCACAGCTAACTGTCTAAATGTCACCTGTGGCTCTTTTCTGCCATAGCTTTGAGCCCATGGCTGTCCTCTTTCTCTCTGCCTGGAGTGAATGACTACTCACCGCTCGCACTCGACCTCACCAGGAACCAGCTGATAGTGGGAGCCAGGTAACACACACACACACACACACACACACACACACACACACACACACAGAGTGCGTCTCACTGACCATGACGATGATGATGATGAGGGATAATGTGTGTGTGTTTGAGCAGGAACTGGAGCCGCAGACAGGAAGTCAGTTACTGCAGCTCTGGGAGCGAATCTGAGCCCATCACATACATCACTGTGATCTTTCACACACACACACACACACACAGACAGACAGAAGTACAAGCCCAGCTGAGCCTATCAAACCTAAAGCACTCTCTCTCTGTGTAGGAATCATCTCTTCCGGTTGAGTTTGAGCAACGTCTCTCTCCTGCAGGTAGGACGTCACTTGCTCTCTTTCTCTCTTTATTCTCCTTCCCATCTGTCCATCCAATCATCTTGACGTCTCTAGAAATGCAGAACCAGCACTGTCCATTTAATTCATCCAATGCCAGACATACACTTAGACTCTGTATTTTATTATGATTGCTCACATGTTTGAAAGTGCTGACGCACAGAAGCAGAAATATCCAACAAATCAAACACACACATACACACATTCAGTAGCATCTGGTATTGTGCAGATGTTTGAAAAGCATTGACTTCCAAGACAGCTGCGTCATGTTCAGCATCCTGATTTGAGCTCCTCTCCTCTGAATCTCTTGAAAGGAGGAACCAAACAATTTTTGCAAGTTCATCAAAAAAATTAATTACTTAATTTAATTTTATACTTTATTTATTTATTTTCATAAAAAAATGAAAATGTCATAATTTGCTTATCCTTCTGTAGAGTATGTTTTGAGCATAAGAATCAGATAATGTCTTGTTTGGTAACTGGGTTATAATAAAAATGTTATTTTAATGTATTTATTTACTTAAAATATTTTTTTCATCTTCTAATTATTATGTATGATTGGGACCAGGGTAATAATAAAATCTATACATTTATTTGATTTATTATTATTTATTTTTTTTATGGAATTTTAGTTTAGTTTAGTTCTTAACAGAATAATTCAAAAAGCAAATTCTGTCATTGTTTGCTCGTCCTTTAGAGTATGTTTTGTGGGCAAATGGTTATGGAAAAACTTTCTGACTGTTTTTGGTGCAAGATATCTTCACTAGCACTGTGGATCAAATCAAGTGTAGAATATGATCCGTTCAATATGCAGACGTCTGTACGTTTGTCTGCTGCTGCAGATTGTCTGTGTTTGAGGTGAGGAGCTGCTGTAGACAGCAACCTCAATTGGGAGTGGGTTTAAATTGGCCTTGTTTGTCTTGAAGGATGATTCGAGACCACCTCTGCACTTAGCGTATGGTGGGAATGCTGAGATTGTGTTGTGCTTGCGTGACAAGCCTGTTGAAAGCTTTGAGCACTTGTGTGATATTTAAGAGTGACTTCGCTGGCGTTTGTGGAAGACCCTGCTGGTGAACCCTCTAAATGCTCACCGTAACCCTGAGAGGGGTGACGCCTTGAAGGCAGGTCTCACAAGAATCTGTCAAAATCCATTGATTTAGGGTGACTTCATGACCCTGTGTCCACAAGAGTGACCCACAGTCACCCCTCGAGCAAACACACACACACACACACACACAGCAGTATGACAAACTACTCACTGTGCTCCTCTACATCTCTGTTCTGAAAAAAATTCTTTGAATTTCTTTTAGAATGTACATATTTCACTTACATCATGTAGATCAATGTGTAAAACTGCATATTTGCAGGAACCAAAGATAGAATTTTGACAATTTGTCCATCATTAATGAATGTCATTTCCATCCCGTCTTAAATAATCATTCATTTTGTGGTGCAAATGACATTTTAAAAACATTTTTAATAAAAAGGCAGACACTTTCAATTTGTTTAACTTTAAAAAAATAAATAAATAAATACAAATTTCAAAGGTTATTTTAATCATCTTGGTAAACACCTTAGGAAGTTAGTATGCAAACTTTTGAAAAAATGTTTTAGGGGCAAAATTGTTGGTTGTGGTAGAAATTATGGTAAAAAACGGCTGAAATTTGGTTAAAAAATGATGAGATCGTTGTCACACAATAAATATTTAAATTGTATTTCATTCTTGAAAATTTCATTCTTTGTTTTGATTATAATAAAATCCAAAATGTCATTATTCATATTTTATGTTAGATTTTCATATTTTAAGATTGAAAGTTTGATTCTGGGACAAGGCTAATAATAAAAGCTATACATTTGAATATTTTATTTTATTTTATTTTATTTTAGAGATTCAGTAAAGTTACACACATCAGCCACATCAGTCATGAAAGATATGATAATGAGATGTTTGAATCTGTTGCATATGTCAGTGATTTATTATATCTGTCTTGAAATCGTTCTGGTTTAATGATGGTTCTGGTCAGGACCAGGCCGCAGAGAGAGATAGAGAGGGCAGATAAGAGCGTTTTAGCTGAGGTCAAATGATCGTGCCTGGATGAGCAGATCTTTAGTGTGTTGGAGAAAGAACACAACCCCTCAACATCCAGAGGTGACGCAAGTCTGACCCTCACAGATCTTCTCAGGGTGAATCCTGCTCTTCAACTGATGACTGCAGAGGCACGGTTAGATTGATGATTGCTTTCTGAACCCTTGCGCTCCCTCTTTTTGTTTCTCCGTCTTTCTCTTAAACAACAAGCATGAAATATAGTTTGCAAAAGTCAAGTGAACAGATGCAGTTTGTCAGAACGTGTGTAATCAGCTCCTTTTGCAGACGAGTGTGTGCTCATCAGAAGCGCCTGCTGCTTTTCAAGAGTGCAGAGGCACAGATGTCACTTATCAATCGCAAAATATGCACTACAGTCCATTTTCTTTTTATATTAGTGTATGCAATGTTGTGCCTAAAACTTCTGAAACTACCACTAAACAGCAAAAGCACTTAAAGAAAATAATTGATCATGCTCAGAACAGCATCTTTACAATATTCACAAAAGGCAATAGGCGCCAGATTATGTTTTTACATTTCAGGCTGTCAGTCATGTATCGCTTTAATTATTGCCTGATTGTTGCATTGTTGTATTTGAAAGCTCTTGTCCACTGCACATCAATCTTTGCTCCATTAAAGTCAAAGCTCCATCAAAATAAATTCTTAAAGTTTTAATGGGGCTCTTTATTATAATTTTAGTTTTTGTAATTCCCTTTTTTGTATCCTCAATGGTGACTTTCATTGAACTCTCACTACTGTAATAAAGTTACTATATTATATTAAACAACACTGTCATACAATGATGCATTGCATTTAAAGCAGCATAATTTAACACAGTACTAAGTACTATGAATACATATATGTACATATTCTTTACATTTTAAATAATATATCTTTATTTTTTTCTCTTTACAGTAATGATACATTTTTGCTCTGTCATTTAGCAGATGTTTTTATCCAAAAAATTTGATAAAAAAAAAAAAGTTTTTAAAATAAGTCTCTTCTGCTTACCAAGACTGCATTTATTTGGTAAAAAATACAGTAAAATTGTGAAATATTATGCACATTTAAAATAACTGTTTTCTATTGTAATCTATTTTAAAAAGTAATTTATTCCTGTGATGCAAAGCTGAATTTTCAGCATCATTACTCCAGTCTTCAGTGTCACACGATCCTTCAGAAATCATTCTAATATGCTGATTCACGGCTCAAGAATTAATTATTATTTTTAACGTTGAAAACAGTGGTTCTGCTTCATTTTCCTTTTGTGGAAAACATGATGCCTTTTTTTTCAGGATTATTTAATGATTAAAAAGTTCAAACAAATAGCATTTATTTGAAACAGAAATCTTTTATAATTGTATAAATTACTTTACTGTTACTTTTGATCATTTTAATGTGTCCTTGATAAATTATAGTAGTAATTTCTTAAAAAAACAAACAAATCCTAACTACCCAAACCTTTGAACTATATAGTGTATATTTTGATTTTAGGGTGAAGTTTTGCCCAGTTCAACCTAATGTGTGATAGTGTGAGTTTGATATTTTAGATCTGGCTGTGCTTATCTTTGTTATAAAACGTCCCCCGGCTGTGAAGAGCTCTGTGCTTTATCTGTGACCTTTCCACTCCATTCATGCTCTGCTGGATCCTTACAGTTCTTCAGCTAATGCCTTCAGTAAGCGTCACATCCAATACAAAATCATGCTTTATTATTTCATTCTATAGTGTGTGTGTGTGTGTGTGTGACTCTGGTCTACATCATTATTTTCTAGCCAAATGACAGCACAGATAAACATGACAAAGCAGCCTGTGAAAGGAGAGGGAGGGACAAGGAACAAAAGAGAGGAAGAACGTCTTAAAACGAGTGAAACAACACATTCAAGGGTTTTCGTTTCAGATAAGGGAACCAATGCGATTAGGACAAACCATCCAGTGTTCCCTAATTAAATGTCACACAGTTGCTCTCCCTCACTATAGAGTCATATTGTGTATATGCAGCGAAACTTTCCGCTTTCCATCTTTTTGTCTTCTATTATTGTGTGTTTCATACCTTCTTCACATTAAGGAAAGAATCTGAGTGAATGGAAGAGCTTCCCATGACTGAATATCTTTCATAGTTTTAGTTCATTTCCTTATTCTGCCTCCTAATCATAATAACAAGAAAGGTTTAGGTTTGTTGTCAGGGCTTTTTAAGGTAAAAGGCATGTCGATATTTGCACTTTACCGAATTTGTTGGTTTAGGCAGTTCGTTTAAAGGAACAGGTAGAAGTAAACAATTTACAGATTTGTTTGAATCATCTCTGTGTGATCTTTTACAATTTTTGTTGTGAACTAAATATTTAAATACTGTTGTTTATGATTCTGACTCGTCACACATCACAGTTTTACTCGCAAACTGTGATGAGTGATGAATGTGTCGTGAATCAGTTCAGTCGAATCATTAAAAAGATTCCTTTGCAAATCGGAAAACAGGAAAGCTTTTAAGTATGTCTGGCAGCTGAAACATTCCCTATGTAGTCTGCACTGTAGACAGGCAAAACAGCATCTTCGTCTTGAGTTGTGAGTGTAATAGTGTTTGTAACATTGAGAATAGAGTTGTAACATTGCTACAAAAATGCTGAAACACAAACAGTGAGATGCATTTGACATGTTAAAGTGCTGGATTGAAAATAAATCCATAAAAACGTTTACTTAAAGTAAATGTAAACATGAAAACTGAAATACACTCAATTACAAAAAAAAAAAAAACAACTTGAAATATTTTATTTCAGCTAGTTACCAAAGCAATATTTCGTATTTTTATTTAGTTTAACTTGATGCACTTAACAAGGATATTATTGTTAAAGGGTTAGTTCACTCTAAAATGAAAATTAGCCCATGTTTTACTCACCATCAAGGCATCCTATGACTTTCTTCTTTCAGACGAATCCAATCGGAGTTATATAAAAAATTGTCCTTGCTCTTCCAAGCTTTATAATGGCAGTGGGTGGGTGTTTCTGTTCAACAGTCCAAAAGAAGTAAAATAAAGCACGCACATCCATAATAAAATGTGCCTCACACAGCTCCGGGGGGTAAATAAAGGCCGAATTGATGCATTTTTGTAAGAAAAATATCCATATTTAAAACATTATAAACACTTTTCTCTCACTTCCGCTAACTGTCATACGTGCAAGCCGTTCTGGTGGATGACGTAGAACGTATGCGTCCATTATAAAGCTTGGAAGAGCAAGGACAATTTTTAATATACTGTAACTCCGATTGGATTCGTCTGAAAGAAGAATGTCATATACACCTAGGATGCCTTGAAGGTGAGTAAAACACGGGCTAATTTTCATTTTTGATTGAACTAACCCTTTAGCTAATTCTAAAACCTTCATTAGTTGAAATAAAAACATTAACTGAAATAAAAAAAAATTTACAAAAAAAAGAAAAGTTCCCAAAGCAACATTTCTCATTTTCCTTTAGTTTAACTTTTAGACAGTTAGTTTAATGTATATTTATATAAGACATATTAAAAATAAATAAAAACAACAAAAACACACAACAAAGTCACTGAGACATTAACTAACATCAACATGAAAACAAAATATAATTGATATGAAAATAACACTGTTGCTTAAACTAAAACTTAAATAAAAATAACTAAATACTATTTACACATTAAAAAAACAGTAATTTGTAAAAATGACAAAAACACAACAAATTTACTAAAATTTTAAGTAAATAATTAAAACAGAAAATACAAAAAGTATTTAAAATATTAAACTAAATATGTAATATTAGAGCTAAATTCAAAATATTTAAAGAATAATAGTATCTTAGTGATACTACAATTACGTGGTTCATGCTTTTCAGATGTTGGCCTATGGTTACATGACAAGCAGGTAAACAAATATCTAAAATAATTTTTTGAACTATTATAAAATAATTTATTTATTTGAATTAATTATTAGTTCCTCTTCTGGAACTCGAGCTGTGTCGAAAACGCTAGGGGAACGCCTTCTGCGACCCACGCTCTGAATCACATGTGAAATCAGTCCAATAGCTGAACGGGACGTCACGGCGGATGACGTCATGACCAGGAAGCTATAAAAGCAAGTGCGGCGGAGCCAGCGTCAGCTTTCTGTCATTCAGCGAAGCGCTCTGTGTGTGTCAGTCATATTTATTGTTGTCTGTCTATTGTGATAAAAAAGTCTATTAAGCAGCTATGTCTAAGGCTCACGCTAAGACAAAGCATGCAAAGGGCGAGTGCAAGTCACGTTATAGGTTGTGTGTTCCTCCCTGCCCACGTTATATCACGAGTGGGGATACACACAGCCTGTGCGTGGTTTGCCAACGTGATTACTCTTGGCCTGCTGTACATGAGACCCCTACAGTGGTGGCTCAAGACCAGGGGGTTCTCCCCCCGAGGGGAAACCCGCCTCGCATGTTCAAGGTCACGCGGAGATGCCTACGTGCCTTAGACACCGTCGGTCGCAGAAGGCGTTCCCCTAGCGTTTTCGATGCAGCGTCTCGTTCCCTCGAGGAACTAGGGTTACATACGTAACCTGAGACGTTTTTTGTCAACTCACGAACCCCTTCCGTTCCCTCATGAATCTCTCAGAGTTAATGGATGCACGTGATGCATGTCTTGGTAGCTTAACTTCTAACCATGATGTTAATTGGCTGTTAATTGCAGGCCACAGAGTGGGGAGTAGACGAGAGCACCAGGAGGTCCTGCCAGAGCAAAGGAAAGACAGAGGTGAGAGACGAACACTGGTATGTGGAGTGTTTGGTTTACCATAAAGCACTCTGAATGAATGTACTGCATGTTAATGGAGGGTTCTGGTAGTTAACCGGTAGGGTTCTGGAAGTAAACTGTAATGTGTGTGAAATTAATTGTTTCTTCTCTCTCAGGATGAGTGTCAGAACTATGTCCGTGTCCTCCTGTTGAACGGCAGTCGTCTGTTCACCTGCGGCACTAATGCTTTCATGCCCATGTGTACGACTCGCCCTGTTACGGACATCTCCAGCGTCCTGGAGTCCATCAGCGGTGTGGCCCGCTGTCCCTACGACCCTCGACACAACTCTACAGCCATGATAACTGAGAGTGGAGAAGTCTACGCAGCTACAGTGACTGATTTCTCCAGCCGCGACCCGATTATTTATCGCAGTCTGGGGAACATGCCGCCCCTGCGGACCGCACAGTACAACTCCAAATGGCTCAACGGTACAGCGGGACAACACACAACTTATCAATGAATCTGAAAAATCCTGTAAAGAATATGTTTAGGTCATATTTTACATTAAAGTCAAAATAACACCTGTATATTAAATTATATATATGTATATATATATATATATATATAATGAAATTTTTTTTTTTTGCATTATACCATTATTTTCATGACAATTAAGCCTATGTTGACCTATATTCTCATTACTGAAAAAATAATGATAATTTAATTGTATTTTTTATTAATACATCATGGTAGTATTTTTTTTACTTGCCTTAATTTATACATTGAGATGCCGCAATACTGTATAAGAAAATTCAACAATGAAACATGACAAACATTTAAAAAACTCAAAAGTTAAGCATGGATACATTTTTTATTTAAAAATGTTGCATTAAGAATTTTATTACTGTGATAAAAAATTATTTAAAATAAAAAGAAATCATTAAAATTGTTGCATTATACATAGTATTTTTCACTGTGATAAAAAATCTGTATTACAGTGGTGAGAATCAACAAAAAATTTGATTTTGAGGGAAAGAATACCATAATTAAAACATCCTAATAGTCTTAAATATTCTTCGATTTCTTTAAATAAAACTTGTTTTTCTTCTGATTTTGGTGTGAAAAGTGACCTGGCCATGTGTGATTTACCCTTATATTTATGTCTGTTTTTTGAAATAATTATCTTTAAGGAATTATATTTTGTCATGTCACACCACACCGCTGTCACTGAAAGCAAGATATCCACTTTCTTCCTTCCCTTTCTCTCTACAGAACCTCACTTTGTCTCTGCATACGAGGTGGGCCACTTCACGTACCTCTTTCTGAGAGAGAACGCAGTAGAACAGGACTGTGGGAAGACGGTCTTCTCTCGTGTGGCCCGTGTGTGTCAGAATGACATTGGTGGTCGTTTCCTGCTGGAAGACACATGGACCACCTTCATGAAGGCTCGACTCAACTGTTCCCGCTCTGGAGATGTTCCCTTCTACTACCATGAGCTGCAGAGCACCTTCTACCTCCCTGAGCAAGATCTCATCTATGGAGTCTTCACCACCAACGTGTGAGTGGATGCTTCATGAAGTAGTGAACAGTCACACGGCAGGAATTTCATTAGGCTAGAGCAGAATTTGCAACAAAATAAAACTTCCATTTATTAATGTCTTGTAAGTACTGTTTTCTATTTGAATATATTGTAAAATGTCATTTATTCTAGTGATCGAAGCTGAGTTTTCAGCATCATTCCTCCAGTCTTCAGTGTCACATGATCCTTCAGTGATATTATGCCAAGCACATTCGGTTTTACGTGGATATTGGAACACAAGTGAAGTACAAAGCCTAGTTCAGCCGACATAATAAATCATAGTTTGGCATCCAAATACATCGCAAATATGGAAACATTTGGATTTGTGCCGAATGAGAGGCTACGTGAGCCCAACATCGGTTTCTGTTTCAGTTTTGCTTTAAATTAATTTGTTTTGGCTTGTTGTTTATATAGCGTCTTATATTTTCCTTGTTGTTCTGTTCTGAGTACCATTAAATTGAAATGTTTTGTTGTGGAGTGAGGCGGACTAAAATAGCATATAGCCTAGTTATATATATAGTTTTTCTAATGTTTGTAAACATTTGTGACCCTGGAGCACAAAACCAGTCTTAAGTCGCTGGGGTATATTTGTAGCAATAGCCAAAAATACATTGTATGGGTAAAAATTATCGATTTTTCTTTTATGCCAAAAATCATTAGGTTTTGTTCCATGAAGATATTTTGTAAATTTCCTACCGTAAATATATCAAAACTTAATTTTTGATTAGTAATATGCATTGCTAAGAACAACTTTAAAGGCGATTTTCTCAGTATTTAGATTTTTTTACACCCTCAGATTCCAGATTTTCAAATAGTTGTATTTCGGCCAAATATTGTCCTATCCTAACAAACCATACATCAATGGAAATTCAGCTTTCAGATGATGCATAAATCTCAATTTCAAAAAATGTACCCTTATGACTGGTTTTGTGGTCCAGGGTCACATTTCACTTTATTTACTGGTATTTCGGAATGTAATAATAAAATGACTTATCTGTTTTTCTCATAAAAACTATTTTATTTTATATTTGTAGCATATTTTTAACCATGCAGCAAACATTTTTTTAAAGTTATTTTTATGGGCTTTTATGCCTTTTTTATTAGGATAGGTCAGTAGAGAGATGACAGGAAAGCATTGGGTGGAGAGAGGGGAGCAGGATTGGTAAAGGACCCCGAGACGGGATTCGAACTCGGGTCGCCATGAGCACAGTTGCATTGTATGTCAACGCACTAACCACGAGGCTATCGGCACCAACAAACATTTTAAAATATTTTTCAAAATTACTAAAATTGAACCGTTTTTAAACAGTTTAACTAACTGTATAAATCAGTCAAAATTCTAACTGTCAGTTAACAGTTAATTGGTTAACTGGTTAGTATGAGCATTCCTAGACGCAACATTTATGGGAGGAGAATATTAAAATAAAACATGCAAGGTTATTTACTAAGGTTTGCAGGAGTCAATTTACTGCTATTTGTGCCATTCAACTTCCAAAAAAGCATATCGGAAATCACTTTGTGCTTGATATGGCTGCCTTAGTTGCTTGGTCATTATGGAAATGATCTGGCTCCATCTGTGTTCTTTAATTTGCGCATTGTCAGTAGATCACCAGCAGAACTAATTTGCCCTCTTTAGTACATCTAGCTCTTAAAATCTTACCGACCCCTAACTTTTGAACACTACTGTTTTTCTATTAAGATTTAGAATGTACAGCACCACACCATCTTTCACTTCTTCCTCTCATTCACAGGAACAGCATTGCTGCGTCAGCGGTGTGTGCGTTTAACCTCAGTGCCATCACGCAGGCCTTTAACGGACCCTTTCGCTATCAGGAGAACCCTCGGACCAGCTGGCTTTCCACTCCCAACCCCATCCCAAATTTTCAGGTGAAGGAAATGAACTGCTGCAGCTTCCATTTCAAAGCATTTTACTTTTACCCTGAAGCCAACTCACAATTTTATTCAAGACGTTTGGCACAAAATGCAGTAGTCAGTTCGATTTAGATTTACAGTTTCTCTAATGTGCAGTTCCTCATCGCCTATCTCTGTGACAGTGTGGGACAGTGAATGATTCAGGTCCTGGCGGTAATCTAACAGAACGCAGTCTTCAAGACGCCCAGCGGCTCTTCCTCATGAGCGAGGTGGTTCAGCCCATCTCTACGGATCCTCTGGTCATGCAAGACAACATCCGTTTCTCCAGACTGGCTGTGGACATTGTTCAGGGGAGAGACACGCTCTACCACGTCATGTACATCGGCACAGGTCAGGAAGGAATAAAGTGTGACATTCACACCTTTGTCCTCCAGTGTTGTGCTCTGTGGTTCTAATAGTTTTCTTTCATTGACCAATCAAGAGTACGGCACCATCATCAAGGCCTTATCCACAACTAATAAGAGTCTGCGCAGATGTTACTTGGAGGAGATGAGCATTCTCCCAGAAAACATGCAGGAGCCAATCCTGAACCTGCAGATTCTGCACAGCGATAGGTCGCTTTTCGTGGGACTCCCCAGCAGAGTGCTGAAGATCCCTCTGGAGAGATGCTCCAACTACAAAACCGAACAGTGAGTCGCACGCATGCACACATCAACTAGGACATGCACTTTAGTCGACTAGGCTTTATGAATAATACTAGTTTTCTAAAATGTTTTGAAAGAAGTCTCAGCAAAGTTGCATTTATTTGATCAAAAACACCGTAATATTGTGAAATATTATTGTGATTTAAAACAACTGTTTTCTATTTATATATATTTTAAAATCTAATTTATTCCTGTGATGTAGAGCTGAATTTTCAGCATCATTACTCCAGTCTTCAGTGTCACACGATCCTTCAGAAATCATTCTAATATGCTGATTTGCTGCTCAAGAAATATTTCTGATTATTATCAATGTTGAAAACAGTTGTGCTGCTTAATATTTTGTTGTGAACTATCATACAATTTTTCTAGGATTCTTTGGTATATAGAAAGTTTGTAACATTTTAAATGTCTTTGCTGCCACTTTTGATCAATTTACTGCATCCTTAATTAATAAAAGTATTAACTTCTTCTTTTTAAAAAAAATCATACTGACTCTAAACTTTTGAATGGTGGTGCATTTTCACAGAAATTAGCTGATTAAACCAGATTTGCCAAAAATGTAATAGATTTTAAAAAAGTGGTAGCAAGTGACTTTTTTGGAGCTATATTTTTGATTATATTTATATTTGATGAATCAAAAGTTTCTTTAATTTGACTTTTGATCAATTTAATGCATCATTGCTGAAGAAGCTGGTATTCATTTCTTGAAAAAAAAAATCATACTGACCCTAAACTTTTGAATGGTAGCGTAATTTCAACAGAAATGACCTTGTACCAGATTCCTGAGAAGTATAATAGGCTACTAAAAGACAATGGCAGAGAGTGATTTATTTGGTGCTCAATGCAGAAAGATCTTGAAGAATAATTGTGTCAGACTCATTGACAACAGACTCCTGAGGTCAGAGCGTTCTAACCATAACAAGGACTGAACTGTCACATTCATATTGTATCAGTACAGAACTCCTGAAGCCTTGAAATTTCTGGATTCCATTTGCCGTGATTTTGACAGTGAGTACCTATTCACACATGATATTGCAATGCACAGTTGCTGTTAAATTACAGCAAAGGCTGAATACGGCACATGTCCTTCCGAGCTGCTAATGCCCTTGGAGTCAGACAGGAAATTAAGTTTAAGGAGATGAAGTGAATGACAGTACTTATGAGCAGTCACAGATATTATTATCTCATAAATCCTCTGCCACTGGCCGAGAGGCGGACGAATGATGAACTAGGTCATTTAAAAAAAATCGCTGCATCGTGTTCTACACCACTGCTATGAATAGAACACCTATAAATTGTCGAATGTCATTAAAAATATATAATGCATGCGTCACTTCTCGCAGGAAGCGACTGCATTTACATTAGAGATGTACTGTAATTAGATCTCAAATTCATAAATTAATGGCCTCCACATGGATGAATTGGGCTTCAGAGCTGGATTTGTAAGAGCTTTGTGCAATTTTGTGCCCTAATACGTGGTAAATTGACTTATAAAATCAAGCAAAAAGTTTTTTTTTGGATCTGCTAAACGCCTTCGAGAACTCCACATAACACCATATTTAAATACACCATATAATAGAGATGTTTGTTTTTTGCCTTCTTGCAGCATGTCACATCAGGAGAGGTTTTCCATGTGATCTGTCAGTTTAGATGCACATATGTGCTTATGATTCGAGGGTGTTGGTAATGACTTTAGAGGTAGGAGAGGGTCTTTATGTAAGGAACGTGATCCTCAGACTCTCTTCCTGACTTCCTGCCACAGATGTTGTTGCACAAACACTCGGCGCTGCATGAGGCGGACACTTTTGATGTTTGAAGCTGTTATGGGATGCGATGGAACTGTGTTTGTAAAGCTGCTCGGTGTTTAGCATGGCAATGCAATGGAAAAAAGTCATTTCATTATATATTCTCCCCCACGCACACATACACCCAGGTGGCAAAAGGTCAGATCTCACAAGATGTTGCAAATAACTCTAATTATTTTATACCAGTTTTCATCTTTAGAGGTTGATTGACCTGCAAGTGTTTAGTCATGTCATTATAATTTTTGCAGTTTTCTAATGTTGCTAGTGTTTATTAAACGGATGTTTAGTTGTTAGTGGGACGCTGAGACACTGTTATATTTGATTTGGGAATAAAATATGAGTGTCTATACTACTGTTTAGAAGTTTAGGGTCGGCTTAATGTTGTGAAATATTAAAATAGCTATTTTCTATTGTAATATATTTTAAAATGTAATTTATTCCTGTGATGCAAAGCTGAATTTTTACGGGATGATATTAGACTAAAAATTATTAATAGATGCACGCACAATTATCCATGTACTGCATAAATTTTATGTATGTATCTTACTAACCACAAACAAATGCCTTTCGATTTGAGTCTGTGGAATTCGGGATTAAATGATTGTGCAGCGATTTGAACAAATATACAGACATGTTTGCGAATAAAAATGTTCTGTTCTGCTTTAATATATAATAAATTGCTCATGCAAAAAGGAATCCGTGCATTTGTGGATCAGGTGACACGTGTGCATTTATTGACATTTTGTTCGAGTCAATCTTGTTTGGTTCATTTGGATTTTGAGACTTCATTTTCGCAGTTTGCAGAATTTCACGACGCCCACACACACAACTACCAATGAACAAGGCCCAGTGCAATTCATTAACGTGTACACGATTTGAAAAAAAAAAATTCACTACACACACTTTTCAACCAGTGTCTGCAGAGTTAAAAATTACATTAATGTGCAGCATTTTGTTAAAATAAAGACATATCTGTGAATACAAATGTTATAGTTTGTATTAAAGTATCATAATTTGTGAATGTAGCAATTTAAATGTGCATTTGTGGATCAGCATTTGTTTGCGAATTTTTCAAATCGTGTACACGTTAATGAATTGCACTGGGCCTTGTTCATTGGTAGTTGTGTGTGTGGGCATCGTGAAATGCTGCAAACTGCGAAAATGAAGTCTCAAAATCCAAATGAATCGAACAAGATTGACTCGAACAAGATGTCAGTAAATGCATGTGTGTCACCTGATCCACAAATGCACGGATTCCTTTTTGCTTGAGCAATTAATGATATATTAATGAAGAACAGAACATTTTTATTTGCAAACATGTCTGTATTTGTTCAAATCGGTGCACAATCATTTAATCCCGAATTCCACAGACACAAATTGAAAGGCATTTGTTTGTGGTTAGTAAGATACATGCATAAAATTTATGCAGTACATGGATAATTGTGCGTGCATCTATTAATCATTTTGAGCTTAATATCATCCCATACATTTTCAGCCTCATTACTCCAGTCTTAAGAAACATTTCTGATTATTATGATAGTTGAAAACAGCTTTGCTGATTAATACTTTTGTGGAAAACAGGATGCTTTTTTTCAGGATTATTTGATTAATAGGAAGTTTGAAAAAACGGCATTTATTTGTCACAGAAATCTTTTGTAACATTATTTATAAATGTCTTAACTGTAACTGTTAATCAATGAAATAATTTAATCCTTGCTGAATTAATTTTGTTAAAAAAACAAAACAAAACAAGGCCCCAAACATTTGAACACTGGTTAATATTTGATTGTATGCATGTGCTTGTAATTTACTGGTAATTTGCATTGTTTGGTTTTTCATACTTGGTCCTTCTTAAGAATGGCACATCATTAAAATACTGAAACATGCTCTTGAATTAATCACACAGTCTCACTCCACTGAACCCAAAGGACACAAGAAGAAAATGATAAGTCTGTTAGCTCTAATAAATCACCAGAGGTGCTGTCAGATGCTGTTTATCTCTCAGAGCAGGATTTGAGGTTTATTGTGTCTTCTCTGTAGTTACTGTAACAGTCAGATCATATCACGCTCTGATCAGATGCTTATTTACACTTCAGCTCAGTCTCTGACTTTGATCTCAATAAAATAAATCTCGTAAGTGATGTTTAGATTATAGACAAAATTCGCAAAACATTCCCTTGAGATTTAGTGATCAGTCTGAGAAGGATGGTATTAGTTTTAATATTTATTGCACTGAGATTTATTCTTCAGTTATTAAGGTCTGCAACATCCTGTAGAAGTCAATTGCAGTCCAATCTCTCCTCTCCTTTTTCTCTTTTGTCATTAAGAAGTTCTGATGAGCAGACGGGACACTTTTTATGGTGGTATTAATTAAGACCTTGTCATTGATGTGTGATTTTTGTAATCGTAGAGATTGTCTGGGTGCCAGGGATCCGTACTGTGGCTGGGACCGGAAACAGAAGAGCTGCACGACGATTGAGGACAGTTCCAACATGAGCCAGTGGAGCCAAGACATCACAAAGTGCCCTGTAAGACACACTTTCAGACAATATCATCACACATACTGTAAAAGAAAAATCACAAATGTCATCTCTTTATTATCTCAGGTGTTTCTTCAACACAGAAGTGAGATTAAATAGAGTAAATGGAGATTTTTGATTAAGTCTCCTGTAACTTCGATTATTATCTTTAGCAAAAGACCCTCTGTTCTGTTCTTTTCTGTATTCTATTTGATTATTTTCTATACTAATATATCATTTTCTGTTCTGTTCTATTCTGTTCTGTTATATTCTTATATTCTGTTATATTCTACTCTGCTTTGGTATATTCTGTTTTCCATTCTGTATTCATTTATTTTCTATACTAATCTATCATCTTCTATTCTGTATTGTTCTGTACCGTATGTTTGTATTCTGTTCTGTTGTATTCCATTCTGTTCTGTTCTATTCTATTCTATTCTATTCTATTCTGTTCTGTTCTATTCTATTCTATTCTATTCTATTCTATTCTATTCTATTCTATTCTTTATTGTTCTGTACTGTATGCTTGTATTCTGTTCTGTTCTGTTGTATTCCATTCTGTTCTGTTCTATTCTATACACTGTTATTATTTTTTGTTCTGTTCTATTCTGTACACTGCTGTTAGTTTTGTTCTGTTCTATTCTGTGCTTTTATTTTTTGTTTTCTATTCTATGTGATTCTGTTCTGTTTTATTCTATTATATTCTGTATGTTTCTATTCTTTTCTGTCCTATATTCTATTTTATTATTTTGTATACTAATATATAATTTTCTGTTTTACTGTTCTGTTATATTCTATTCTGCTTTGTTATATTCAGTTTTCTATTCTGTATTAATTTATTTTCTATTCTATTCTATTCTAAATAGAATCTGTATGTTTGTATTCTGTAATGTATGCTTGATTTTTTTTCTGTTTGTTCTATTCCGCACAACTCTATTCTGTTCTATTCTATTCTGTATTCTGTTCTATTACTCTGTTTTATATTCTGTTCTATTCTGTATGATGCTATTTTCTGTTCTTTTCTATTTTATATGCTTCTGTTCTGTTCTCTTCTATTCTGTTATTTTCTATACGCTTCTATTCTTTTCTATTCTGTTATATTCTCTTCTGTTCTACATACTTCTATTTATTTCTGTTCTATCCTGTTCTGTTCTATTCTATTCTGTTCCATATTCTGTTTTATTCTATTATGTTTATTCTGTTCTACTCTACATTGTGCTACTCTATTCTGTATCATTTTCTTTGAGTACACCATAAATCTCTTATGATTTTTTTTTTGAGCTGGTCGTGAAGAATCAAATTTCTGATGAAGAGCCTTGAAACAGAGCCTGACGACTGACCCAGCTGATCCGAACCCTTCATCTGACAATGTCAATTACACACTGGTGTTCTGCACGATGGTTGGCCAATGTCACTCCTGTTCCCTCTTGGCACTTCATTAGGTCCATAATTAGCAATCACAAATTTCCTATTATCTCTGATGGTTGATATCCTCTGAGGAGCAATAATAAACAAACCTAATTTTCTACAACGTTTTGGAAGCTTTGGCTTTGTCCCAAGTTGCATACTAATATTATGCATTAAAAGTACTTGCTATTATGCTAATGAGCAAAAACTGTTGTTTCCATAGTAATAGCTTGAAGTTGAGACAGTGAGTAAAGCCCCGTTCACACCAAGAACGATAACTATAAAGATAACAATATTAGCGTCCACACCAGCGAACGATATCATCTGTTTATTCTAAGCACACGCGCGTCTGCCTCTTTAAATTCTTGAGCTCGTTACAGCAGGATGGATTCTGATTGGCTGTCAATTTTTTATCGTTCATCAGCTGGAGAAAAATTTTTTGAAAGTGATTCCAACGATATCGTTTCTCTTTGTCTTTATCGTTATAGTTGTGGTGTGGACTCTGCTATTCTTTAATATTGAGAACGATTTTTAGAACTATATCTTTATCGTTATCTTTATAGTTATCGTCCTTGGTGTGAACGGGCCGTAAGAGTGCTTTTCTCAAACTTTTGCAGAATGTATTGGTTCCATAGTTATGGCGTAAATCAACACTAAGTTACAACATGCACAGAATGCACTACTGAATATTTGTGATTTGCGACATTAAACATTAAGCATATAAACAAAATATGATTCTAGTCAGAAATAACATGGGATAAATAGCAGACTGATTGGATTGCATTGGACTTTGTGTTTTGCACGAAATACTTTCTTTTAGCATTACATAATGATGTTGACATTTACATTTTAAGAGAAAGAACATTATGTGAATGTGGGTGCTGTGCTGCTACTGTCTCAATAAATCATTCGTCCACTGCACTTTTACGTATAACCAGTAAGAGCTGTTACTGTATTATATTTAGTTATGGTAACATTTTACAGTAAGATTCTATACATTAATATTAGTATTTATATTATTATTATTGTTAATGTATTTAGTATTATGAGTTAAAAATTGTCAATATTTTTACATTGAATCTTTATAAATATAAATTTATAAATGTACTATTGTTCATTTTTATTTAATAATGGAACATTTATTTATATATAATGCAAACATAAATATTAACCAGGATAATTTCTGTAAAATATTGTTTGTTGTGTTAATTAATGCAAACTTTTGCATCCTTATTTATTGCCCTGATTCATTTTACATACAGTTCCTGAATATTATTTACATGACTATTTATTTTACGTTTTTTTGTGTCTCATTGGGAATGCAATTTATTACTGCTGCTACATAAATTAAACAAAAAAATTGAAACAACATCCAGCTGTCTGTTTACAGTTTTAAAGGCTGCATATTGGATCAATAATAGTAAACATCATGTTACGCGACTACAAAATACTTGGAAAACTATGGAAAACGTACGACAAATTTAAAAAATGAAGTACCAAGTTAACTACAAACTACAGCAGAACTGATGATTTCTTGAGCTTCCTCCTCATTGGTAGGCTGAAGTTGAGTATCTGAGCCGCAGGGGCATCAGAGGAAGCTGAAGGGGACTGTTATTATATGAATTCATAGAAGGGCAAACTGATAAGCATTACATTAACAATTTTTGTCATGCATCAGGGAAAAACCCTCAGTTGACCTTTTTTGATTATACCGTTGAAGTACAGTGAAAGTTGATGCAGGTCTCGAAATTCTGGATGAATGACACTGAGTTCTGGTCAGTTGTTACTAATCCAGACTCACAGTAGATGTTGGTATTCACCTCAATGGGCACGCCGCACACCTGCTCCCTGAAGATTACCCATGCATGCAGATGAATTTAAGACAGTTTTTATCCTGTGCATTACATGAACCACCTACTACTGCAGACTGACACGTGTACATGCTCTATACATCACTGCTGTTGGTTAAATTGCTTTGAAAAATGAGATTATGTGGGGACTTTGATGAATGCAGAAAAATGCAGGTTCAACTCTCAAATTGTGACTTGATTACAAGATTTAGTCTTCAATTAAGGCATGAATACTATTTTGATATTTTAATCGTAAAGATGAAATGGGTCACACTTTATTTTAAGGTCCAATTCTCACTATTAACAAACCATTAACTTTGACTTTTGCCTCAAAAAACTCCTAATTTGCTGCATATTCATAATTAGTAAGGTAGTTGTTAAGTTTAGGTATTGGGTAGGATTTGGGATGTAGAATATGGTCATGCAGAATATGTGCTTTACAAGCACTAATAAACAGCCAATATGTTGTTAATAGGCATGCTAATAAGCAACTAGTTAATATTAAGAATTGGTCCCTATACTAATATAGTGTTACCATTTCCCTTATCTTTTATAGGTCAGCTAAGCAGATAGTCCTGCCCTAAACTCATGCGGTGGTTACAACTTTACATTTCCTAAAAACCGTTGGGTTTATAACAACCAAAACAAGTAGCAAAGAAAAGACTGAAAGGTCACACTTTATTTTAAGGACCAGTTCTCACTATTGGCTTACTATTAACTATTGATTTTGCCTCAATAAACTCCTAACTTGCTGTTTATTAATAGTAAATAAGCTAGTTGTTAAGTTTAGGTATTGGATTAAGGGATCTAAAATATGGTCATGCAGAACAAGGCATTAATATGTGCTGTATAAGTAATAATAAACAGCCAATATGCTAGTACTATGCATGCTAATAAGCAACTAGTTAATAATGAGATATTACCTACTGAAGTTAGCTATAAAAGAAAGTTAGAATCTGAACACTAAGAGGTTTATTCTGAATGAAACAAGTTCAGTGAATTTCTATGCAAACACTAAATGCATACTTACAACATGCCTTGTTTGCATTTACATTTATAGGAGCGCAACCTCACCCAGGATGGTGGATTTGGCCAGTGGTCACCATGGCAGGCTTGTAACCATGACGACGGAGGTGAAGGCACCAGCACATGTCAGTGTCGCACTCGGGCCTGTGATAACCCCCGACCCCAGTGTGGAGGGATGAAGTGTGTCGGGGCCAACATCCAGGTGGCCAACTGCTCCAGGTACACCTACTCTACTAACCCTTATGCTTGTTAAAGTAAACTAACCATGCTTGTTAAAGTTCAAATGTGACAAAACCCTTAAAAAGTAGTTCATTTGAGTTGTGTGCGATATTCCAGTCACATGATAGCTTTGTGTGAGGAACATGCTGTTATTAACGTCACTGACAATTTTCTCTTCTGATGTAGCTCTCAAATCCCATCCGCACCCTCCATATAAAATTGATTGGTTACTAGATACATGAGAACCAAGTCATTTTGCTTCATTGATAAGAAACCTGGCGTGACTTATCTGGCCGAGCCATATTTGTATATATGTGAACACATAAAGTATTGTTCAGAACTGTGGGGTTGGTTTGATTTTTAAAATGTTCTTTGGAAGAAGTATCTTATGCTCACCAAGGCTGCATTTATTTGATTAAAAATACAGTAAAACTAGTAATATTGTGAAATATTATTACCATTTAGTGTAGCCATTTTCTATTTGGATATATTGTAAAATGTAATTTATTCCAATGATCAAAGTTGAATTTTCAGCATCATTACTCCAGTCTTCAGTGTCACATGATCCTTCAGAAATCATTCTAATATGCTGATTTGCTGCTTAAGAAACATTTATGATCAGTTATTGATTTTTAAGCTATATTATCAATATTATCATCTTACTATTTAGCGGTTTGTATGAAAACATAATATTTCCACAATGATTTTTTTCAGGATTCTTTTCTAAATATAAAGTTCTAAAGAACAGCTATTTTATGAAATAGAAATCTTTTGTAACATTATAGATGTCTTTACTGTCACTTTTGAACAATTTAATGCATCACTAATGAATAAAAGTATTAATTTCTCAAAAAACAAAAAGTAATTTTCTCTAAAACAAAAATAGTAGGAATAGTAGTACATTTGAAAGTTGTTCTTCACACAAAACACTGTCATGGAAGACTTGAAGTATACAGTTGCACACGTCATATGGATATAATGGTGCGTCTAATTTTTCAAGTTTGACAGCATCCCATTATTCACTGTCAAAACACAGGGAATTAAAACTCATATGGGTTTTGAAGGAGTAAGAGACTGAGTAAATGATTTTGTTTTTGGATGAACTAGGCCTTTATAATCTGGGACTCCCCATATTGAAGTGGCAGGTGTAAACAGTGCGGCTAGACTGATATATGAGAGCCAGAGAGATCAGCCTGAAGTCTTCAATCACAGCCAATCAAAGTGTCAAAGCACAAAGCACGTCTGATTCAGCTCTTCTGTGAGAGAAAGGCACCACCCAATGCTAACAGCTGCAGAGAGTGAGGCTTCGACTCCATCAATCCTGAACTCTGATACAGATGTGGCTTTATTCATTAACTGCAAGCGGCTGACGCAGCGTTTCTGGCGGAGCAGCTCCTTCTTTGCATGTCCCATTATCCTGCAGTCACTTTCATTCAATGAATGAATGTTCCAATTATATCTTCACCTAGAGAGCTTGTTTAAACACACACATCACCGGGTCTGGGTGCGAGAAACTAACAGGACGCAATGTTTCAGTATAACAGCAGAAGAGCAGCTGTGGCAGATCTATAATAGATGAGTAATGAGCTGCTAATACATCTTTGTCAGAAAGCTACTGTTAAGTTTAATAAAACTGATGTTACCTGTCAGGCTTTAAAGTTGTGATCACAATCCTGTGCAGTCATTATCGGGGCCTTAGAAGGAGTTGCTTGACTCCAGGTGACTCCAGAGGGGCTGTCCTTGTTATTCATTTGGAAAATAGGATTTTCTTACTTTTTGAAGTAAATACTCTAACTTTGCAAACATTGCAACAGTGCAAAGCTCCCAGTTCGCTTACATCTCTGCCCTATCCTTCATATCCTTTCAAACTTGTATGACAGGTTTAAAGGGGGCATGACCTGCCTTTGTTTTTTATGTTGTACGGTCCACTTATAAAGTTATCAAGATTTTTACATCAAAAAGCATAATTTAGAAGTAATAGGCTATTTACATTACTGTCGGATCCAATATAGTCGCACAGCATCGTCTTTTAGTTTCAATCTTTCTGAAAATCCTGCATCGAGTTGTGCCTTGTTTGTAAACTAATCCGCGGTAAAATGAAGTGAAGAAAGGAACGAGCTCTTACTGATGCGGTCTGGAACTTCATTAAAAATAAAGTTCATCCA